CACACACACACACATACATACACACACACACACACACACACACACACACACACACACACACAAACATCTATTTACTTATCACACGCGCACCCTTACACATCGTTTCGAAATGAACCCTTACAAATACATAATGAAATAATATACTCAATGCAATTCGCAAAATACATAAATTGATACATAGTCATTTACATAATATTATACCGAACATAAATCTACTGACAACACCTTATTGTGTTGCAAGTTCCCGTAAAATTCTTACCAAAAATAAAAAGACAAATGAACACACTTTAAAATTGTGCTAATAACTCCACATGTTCATAAATTTACCAGCGCCTGATTCCACCGCGTTGGACCACAATACTTATTTGTCGCACATCACAGATTAGACGGATAATGCACACACCGGATAAAGGAGGTGGCGGAGAAGAAGTGGAGGAGGAGGAGGGGATTATACAAGTAATGGCAGATGCTGAACTCAAGGTAGCTGGTGAGTAATAAGGATCCGGTGAGGGCTTGTGGGTGGGTATGTTTGTCTAAAAGCCTTTGTGTGTGTGTGTGTGTGTGTGTGTGTGTGTTTGTGTGTGTGTGTGGGTGGGTGGATGTGTGTGTGTGTGGGTCGGTGTGTGTGGAGGGGGGGGGGAGTAAGACAGCAACAGATTCACAGAAATATTGTTATATAAATCGGAGGAGAAGGGAAAGGAGTAGAAGAACGAAGAGGAAGGGGAGGAGGAGGAGGAGGAGGAGGAGTGGGTGGTCGCCGGGCGGACATAGGAAGGGGAGAAAATACGCCAAAAGGTAAGCCGGAAAGATCTCGCATGTATTCAGTCTGCAAGGTCATTTACATGAGTGTGTGTGTGTGTGTGTGTGTGTGTGTGTGTGTGTGTGTGTGTGTGTGTGTGTCTGTTTGTGTGTGTGTCTGTGTGTGTTTGTTTGTATATAGCTTTGCCTGTCTTTGTGTGTGTATGTATTCCTCTTTCTGTTTCTTTTTCCCCTCCTCTCTTTTTTTTCCCTTGTTCTCTATCTCTCTTTATCTCTCCTCCCTTTTTCTTTACCTTTCTCTCTCAGTCTTTCTCCCTCTTTCTGTCTGTGTGTCTGTATCTCCCCCCCCCCTCTCTCTCTCTCTCTCTCTCTCTCTCGGTTTTTCTATTGTCAACTATATACATCTCTTACTCTCTGACGCATTCCAACCAAAATGTTCTACATTTCAGT